AAGAAAATTGGCATTGCAGTGTCTAGTTTTTTTTATCCTAACCAGCTGTTTTACATGCAATTCCAAAACGAAGACAGCCAGCTAGAGTTTTCTGATGCCATTCCCCCGCACACAACCGTCTTCGCTAGGATTTCTGTAGAACCTCAGACCCAAGGCGCTCACACGACAGGCTCTGGTCGCCTCTCTGCCGGCCTGCAGCTCCTCATCCACGTCTCACTTCCTTTTCGCAGGCTAGCAGCTGAGAATACCCTGAGTGGGTGGGAACACATTCCAGCAATAACAGCCCGGCTTCCCCAACTCACCAGCCTGCGAAGTTTCCTTTGCGAGAGGGCTGGGTGTCAGGTTTCAGAGGCGTCCTTCTCCTTTCCCGAGCCCTTGAACTCCTGGGCTTCCACACTAGCAACGACACAGGATCTGCTTTACAGGGCGACCATCATGGGGATAGTTCCTTATTTTTCCAACCTGTGGCGCTGGATCGGTCCCACGCTGGCGGATCCCCAGCCCCTGCCCGTCAGCACTGCAAGTGGAAGGACTTGTGGCACCACCCCTGAGTCCGCAGTCTGAGGCGCCTGGATCTGCAAGGTTTGTGTGAGAAGAAGGCGTGTCTCCCAGTCTTAACGCGGATGTGCGGAGCTCACCTCTGGCAAATCTTGATGGTGACTCAAACGCGCTTGGCTCCTGGTTAAATTCTCCTCTGTGGGGCTTCAAGCCCTAGCAGTAGCTCATTCTCATTCCTTTATTTTCCCGTGTTTTCTTCGACATGTCTTATTGAAAGAGCCCAGGGCACTGCAAGGACTGCCACCAACGTATCGCATTCTCTCCTCCCCAGGGAATGTCTCATTAACTATAGAGAGAGCAAGGAATTGCCAGCGAAGAAACGGAGAAAGGCCTCGGGAAATGAGAGAGGAGTTGGAAAGAAATTCGTGTTGTAAAAGTTAGGATCTGTAAATATGAATACATTAATCAGTATTCACCACACTCATCTTTGCCTCCTTGTCACTCCAGAGATCAGTAGGTTACCTCTTGGATCACATTTCAGACAGACTGACAACTCTAGTTTACAGCCTGACCGTAAAAGTAAGAATCCCAAGCTATATACATATAATAGCAGCTGACTTATTCCTGTGTGAAGAAAATTTAAAAGTTCCAAACCTGTTGCTTGCACTCATGTTGGTAAACAATGAGATGACAGCTTAAATTTTCATTGTTTGACTCAGTGCTGACAGAGTGCCCTAGAGAATCAGCTAGGAAGATCTGTCTCCCAGAGGAGTGCTGTGGAAGGGGGTCAATGAAGACCCCAAACTGAAAGGAAACACAAAACGAGAGCCAAATGGTGGAGAAGAGTATGGGAGAAAACATTCAGTTCCGCAGGACTCTGTCAATTCTATTAGGAAAATATAGGGAAAGTTCTATTTTCTGTGCCTCAATGTTCTTATCTGGAAAAGGGACATAATAAAATGCCTTCATAGGGTTATTGTGAGTAAATGAATTCACATCAGCAAAGTGCATCAAACAGTGCCCGGCACAGTAAATTCTATATACATGTTAGCTAGACTTATTATTTTGGTAGCATTTATCGACTTCAGCTTCCCACAGTAAGGTCCAATTAAAAAAAAAATAATTCTGATCTACCAGGAGAAAGTACAAGAAGTTCGGAGTGTAGATTTTCAAAATATATATGCTGGAAATCAAAATTTGCCGCAAATCTATTCTGCATCCATCAGCAATATCTAAGTATATAACAAGTGTGTGTTCATGAGCCAAGAGAGAGGTAAGAGATGGAACATAACAACCTTGAATTTATTCCACTGTACATAGCACATTAATTTAAAACAATTCTCTGTGCTATATAATGATAATCTGTATTCTTCACATCGTTGATGTGTTCACTTACAGTAATCCTAATAGCTATTATTTCATGTTTGCAGTAGAGTTTATAAAGCCCTTACCCATAGATCATCTCATTTGACTTTTGCAACATTGCTTTGAAATAGGCAAGGCATCTATTATTTTTATTGTCCGCATGTTAAGAATGAAGAAACCAAGGTTAAGAAAGCCCCAACAATGTGCCCAGAATCATGAAGGTCCATCAACATGGAACTCAGGTCTGCTGATCCTGAAGGCAAGTCTCAGGTGATCACTGTACCACTCTGCCTCCCTACTATTTCCAGGGACAGTTCCTGCCATGAGAAAGTCTAACACACATTTATCACCTGCTCCTTGTCACTCTTCCCCAGATAAGTGTGTCAGTTTCCTCATAGGGTCAACTCTTACAGGGACAGCTCTCCCGGAGTCACTTGCCACATTATCGGGTCCTGAGGCTCAGGGCCACTGGTGTTACTTTGTGATGCTACTCAGCTACCTGAGTGGTGGGGCTTGTTCTCACCTCCGGGAAGAGAGATTCTAAGGAGGAGAAGGAGGTAAGAGAAGATCCAAGAAATGATTCTTGGCCACCTCACGGAGGTCACTTTGAACAGAGGTAGAGCAGAATAAAATATCCAGGAAAACCAGTAAAAACAAGGTGACAGCATCTTGTGTCATAATAAAAAACAAATGCCTTCCTATACCTGGAGTTTGTTTTAGCACAAATTAAATAGACATAATTTCGGTCAATAGGTTTATCATTCAATAAATACAGCACTGAGGTAAATGGATATAAATGTGCATGAGAAAGTTCTAGTGAAAAATGGCAAATTGATTACGCATGTTTCAGATCCCCTTCCCCAAACTCCTCTTACACAAGAATAAATTAATTTTTAAATGTTATTAAATCATAAAGAGAAATAAAAGGGAAAAGCAACATAAAAAGACAAAATAAACTGCAATAGGTGGCTGGGAGAACCTAAGTCAAATTGATGGAGGCTTGGTAACTGTTTCGGTAGAGAAGAGTGAATCTACTGCATGTAGGAGGGGTTATGGATAAGAAGAAGCACAGTGTTCCCTGCATAACCCTGGGAGGCTCAGGCCTAGGAGGCATAAACACCACCATAGAAGGAGGCTAGCTGGTGGGGTGAACACAGGAGTTTGGTTAGATGTCTGTACGCAGAATGCTTGGACTCAAACTTCCCTGCCCCACGGCCACACCATCGACCACCCATAACTTCCTCCATCTGCTCAACCCAGCCCTCCAGGAGACGGGAGGTTTATTTTCTGGAGAGAGCCAACTAGAGTAATTTGTGGTTTAACAAGATGAATTGAACACATGCATTTTTACTCTGCTTTTACAGAAAATGAATTAAAAATAAATTTATATATGACAGAAAAAACTCTCGATACTGAAAATATGCTCAAAATTTGAAAAATTTGACAGATGGGTTATAAAATTAAGTTGAAAAAATCTTCAGGAAAATAGAAAAAACTATAGAAATAAAAAATTGGAGAAAAGGGAAACATTTTTTGACTAATGGAAATCCCAGAGAGTTCCAGAAAAGAGGTGCTTTTTTTTTAATCCAGAAAGGGATGAAAAAGTTAACTAAAGAAATAATGCAGAAACAATTCCAGAAATGAATACCATGAATTTTGGGGATCAGAAGTTTCACCAAAAGTCCTGGAGAATAAAATTTTAAATTAATTAATTAAACACACTAAGATACAGCATTTTGAAATATTAGAAGCCCAGGAATAAAGAAAACCTAAAACATCTTCCAATAATATAAAGCAGATCGCAAGCAAAGGAAAAGAATAAAAATTGCATTGGATATCTTGAGAGTAATAATAGATCCAGAAGATTCTTAAAATGTGTTCACATTTTAAAAATAAAATTATTTTGAACTTAGATTTGTATACACAGACAAAATATTAGCCAAATGTGATTAAAGATATTTTCAGATATGCTAGGATTCAAAAATATACTTCCATACCGTTTTTAAAGAAGAGTTCCAAAAATGAGCTTATAAATCAAGAAAGAGGACGAGATAGTACCCAGGAAATGCAGAACCAACAGAGGAGACAGTAAATTCTCCAGAGCAACATCTGTGAAGCAGGCCTAGAGATAAGAAGGTTAGATTGCAGTAGGGAAATCATCAAGAAAAAACAAGAAAAGAAAAGAATTATTTGATGTACATGTCCATTTGAACAATTATTGATAAATGTGTGTGCTGTCAAAACTGGAAGCGCTCATCCAAGTCCATGTTCCCATTTTTCTATGTACCCCACTAGATTTCATTTCTTAGCCCCTTGCAGGCAGGGAGGCATGTAACTGAGTTTTGGCCAATGGTATGTGAGTAGCAGTGATGTTTACCACCACTTCCAGGCCATTCCCATAAAATAACCTATGAGAGCTTCTATGCTTTTCTTCTTTCCTTATTAGTATCAAAGACTACACAGGCTTAATGAAGAGTTCTGAGGCCCTAAAAGACATTAAAGTCCCAAGATGAAAGCCATTTGTGACTCTGGATGACTGTGTGACATATAAACCCTAGCTGCCACATGTGACATGAGTAAGAAATAAACATACCATGTAAGGCACTGAGACTTTTTGAGTTGTTTGTTATAGAAATTCTGACTATTCTGAATATTTAAAATATTATATGGGGGATATTCGTGAATAATTACAGTAGGTACAAAATATATTAAACAAATTGGAAAAAAAAAGATATTACTACCTCCAGGAAAAACAAAAGGTTCTGAGAGAAGAGAAACATAATGATAATATACCACTTTGTGCAGATGTGGATATAATTATAAATGGCTGACAAAAGTGTAACCATAAACTATGATATAACTGCATGTAGAGGATGGGGATAAGGAAAGACCGTCAGTGTATGTGTGTGTGAAAGACGACTAAATTCTCAACTATTATAAAGTCAACAAATAATGTGTAAAATCACTAAATAAAGAAATAGCAGGATAAGCAAGTCATTTAGAAATAAGTAAGTAAGTACAATTAAAAAAAAAACACTAGAAAAGTCAAATGTTTTCCTGTGGGAGTTGAGACTAGGGCTTGGGAGGAGATTTGTCCTAGTTTATTAGAATTTTAACATCATTTTTTAAAAAACTATGAGATATATTACCTTAATAAAATTAATATTAAAGTCATTTGAAAATATCCGTAGAACAACAAAAGATATTTGTTTAATAGAGAAAACTACAATTTATTAAAGTACTTGCATATATTTTTTGCATGATAACCTATAAGCAGTGGAGAAAGTAAATTTGAGACGTAGACTAAAGACAAATTTGAGAAGTTTGCAGTCATTTATTCACTCAACCAACATTTATTAAGTAATATGTGCCTGATATTCTCTTGTCTTTGGTGACATGAGACACTGACTTAACTGGTGTTCATCCTTCAAAATACTCTTAAAAATTGCCATCTTGTCTCCTTACTTGAACTCTACACAGATGAGATCAGAGGTTTCCTAACTCATTCTTCTGGGACTGAAGGGAAGGCTTGACAGGTAGTCACGCATGGGTTTGCCTCCACCCTCTGCTGGTTTTCAGTTCATATGGTCTGTCTAATCACAAATAAAAATCAACTGCTCCCCAGTTTGAGGAAACCCCACAGCATGACTAAAAGTTGCAAGACTGGACTTCCAGGTCATGCCAGTTTCATTAACTACTTTTAAAGATGTTACTTCAAGAAACATATAGGCTTAAGTGAATTTCTACTAGCAAATTAAATGTGTAACATACCAAGACCCATTTTAGGCATCAAAATGGACTTGTCCACATAATTATATGTGGAGCATCTACTCTATCAGGAAGTCTTAACCTCCCCATTTCTACCTTCGTTTTGTCTCAGTTTCTTAGAATATGAAATTAACATACACTGGGACCTTGTATAGAA